AGCTGCTTTTAGATAAGATCAAGTTCAACAGTTAAATCCAGACATGTGCAAGACACACAGATCATTTGTAAGATTTGAATAAATGCTAAAACATCACAATATACATACATGTAGATATCTTTTGAAACATAATAATAGAAAAAAGCCACCAATATTTTCCATGGTCAGGAACGTCAGGTCAAAGTTATCGGTAAAGTTTCAAAGTCAGGAAAACAAAGTTTAATTATAGTAATTTAAAGATAATTCAAGAAGGAAATCGAAAACCTTCTTGCTCCTGGATAAAAAAGAAAAAAACAATTACCTAAATTATTTTGTTAATTGCCTACATATTTTGCTTCACTAGGCAGGTCTTGCTGAGGACTGAAAACTACAAAGGCTCTCTCTGATGGCAGTAACCCCGGAGGTCAGCTTTGAAATTTTCACCCTACTCTAATGCAATCTAATTTCTAAACAGTCCTAGGAATCTCTGACTGGCAAAGACACTTACGCGGCAGGCTTCATGGAACCACAGCAGTTTCAGGGCTTCTAGAATCGGGGATTGTAATTTACTGGTGGGTCTTCAGCATCTGACACTCACAAAGGTTTTCATGCATCAATGAGCTAGAGATCCATAGGAGTTTAATCACACTCTCTGCCAAACCAAATGGAAAACCTCTCCCTGACCAAGCCCCAGATATACTTTATCCAGAAATGTCTTTTTCTGAATCTTCAGCATGAAATAATTAGGTACTTTTCAAAGAGGGAAATTCATGTTGTTTAACTGTCAATAAACCTGCAAATCCACATGACGAGCTATTGGAAATCGCTAGGAATTTTACTGAGTAAAAGAAGACAAGCTAACACAAAAATCCATGACCCGAAGACTCAACCAGTCCAGACTGCCAATGACACAACCAGTTTGGAGAGAATTCTTGAAGGAAAGAAATTATACAGACAAAGCTCCTATTATTTATTTATTGTATTTATAGAAAATGGAGACGTTGGGAACAAGCGATGCTTTTATGACGCTCAGAGACATCCAAGTCTTAAATCTTTTAAAACGCCTCTAGATGCCTAAATCCTAATATTCCCGCACCAAATCCACCAATGTCTTTGTACTTCAAAACTGTCAAAAGAAAAGGAATACAATTATTAATAGCAGAGACATCACGGCCACATCTTTAAAAAATCTAACGGATTCCTATTTCTTTTAGTTTGAAGTTGGAGAACCTGGGAAAACAAATTGGCAGTTTTAAAACAATTCAGCAAACACTGCTGAGCCAGCAATGATGAGGCTACGCCTAAGAGAGAGACGTCTCACATCTGGTTGAAAATGGAGAGTCCTCTTCTAACATGCTGTCTTCCAGTTTTTAGTGACCAGCAGCAACAGTGACATCCAGTGCAATTCATTTCAGACGTTATTATTGTCATTGTTATTGAGTTGTTTCTGACTCACAGGATCCTGTATAGGGTCCGAGGAGAGTCTGGTGGGTCGGAACCAACAGCCTTGCGGTTAATAGTCCAGTGTTTATTCTACAGTATCACCACCAAGACTCCATTCCAGGCACAGGACCACAGAAAAACACACTTGATTTTGAAAGGAATGTTGTTGTTGTTGTTGTTGTTAAGTGTCATCAAGTCAGTTCCAACCCACAGCGACCCTGTATACGGTTTCCATGGAGCAACTGGTGAGCTTGAACCACTGACCTTGTCGTTCAAATGGCTTTGCAGTCTGGAGCATTAACCCACAGCGCCACACCAGGACTCCTTGAAAGGAATAGACCCCTCTACAATATTAAAGCAATCAAAGGACAACACACACCTTGGATGGACTACACTGACCTGAAAGTTTCAAAATCCAACCTAAATCTTTCATTTTAGCCTTCTAGTGGTGCAACAGGAGCCCTGGTAGTGTGATAGCTAAAGAGCTTATGTGCTAAGCAAGAGGTCAGCATCTGAACCCAACATTGGCTCCTCATGAGAGATGAGGCAGTCTGCTTCCATTAATGATTTACAGGCATGGAAACCCTACGGGGGACAGTTTTGTTCTATCCCACAAGGTTGCTAACAAGTCGGAAGGGTAGTGGGTTTGGGTTGGGATTTTTTTAGTGATTTCACGGGGAATTGAAGCTCAAAGAATCTCTGCCAGACCAAAGGAGAGGACCATCACATGGATTACTGACCTAAGGGAGATAAAATTTGGTTTCCAGAAACGTTAAAGCCAGTCTTTAGCAAATGAGTATTTGCCATCATGTTTCACATTCACATTCGGGGCTACGGGTTTGCAGATTCATTTCTTGCCCTGGGCCTAGAGCTTAACTATAATTCCTAAGAGCCTTCCAGCTTACAAATTCTGGAGGCTTACCATAGTCATGGTTCACAGACAAATGCAAGTGGCCGGGCATTCTAGTGGAAACACTGAGAACAAAGCTCATCTCAGTGTCGGCGTGAAGTGATTCTAGGCAGAGATCTGGGTGGCGGATGCAAAGGACTGGCCTCAAACCTGCAGGCTGGCACCTCTACAACCACTGCAAATTCTACTGCATGCCTTGGCTCACAGGCCAGCTGGCTTCCTATAGAATGCAGGGGGGCCCTCCCAGCAACAGGAGCCAAAGGGAGCTTTCAGACAACACTTGGGTTGCTGGGTCTTTTTTGTTTGGTTGGTTTTTTAAGGGAATACCGGCATACAATTTTTAAGCTACTGAATTTTTTTATGAATCAGTTGTTGTCTACTGCAAATGTCATGTGGTGAACAAAAAAACTCTCATTTCCCCAAACATTACAATTAGCTCTCCTTGTCGCCTTCCCGTTTTGTCACCCCCAAACAACACTCCCGATCACAAGAGTCTAAGTGAGATAGAACTATGAAGTACAATGCTCTTTTATATTCTCAGGGCTGAACGTGAGAAACCAAGTTTAGTCACTTCTTGCATTAGTAAAGCATCCAGTGCAGGCCACTTCCTATGGAATCCGAGCCCCTGGAGATAAACCACCCCTAACTACTGCGTGCCATAGGGAATCACCAGCTGCATTTTCACAGCGCACGCGTCTGGGTGACTGACCACATTTTGAAAAGCATGAACACAGCAGTATTCTGATAACCCTCTTCTAAAAAAAGGGATGTTCGTGAATTTCTTTTAGCCAGGGTGCCTTTTTGGAAAGTTTCAAATGCAGAAATCTAGAAGAGTAAATTCACCCGACATCGGGAAAAACCCAAGACTAACCGCAGGAAATCAACAAGTTTGCCAACAAGGGGGTTGGGGTGGGGTGGGAGGGGCATAAGCTCCACACCCTAGTTCTTACCTACAGAAAAATCGGAATTGGAAATGAGCCCTTTCCTTCACATCCCTGCCACCTCATCTTGCCATGAAGGAAGCTGCTAAAAGAAGTAAATGGCCCCTGGTCTTGCTCCCTTCTTCACGGACCCTCTCCGAGTGGCCAGGTTACTCCAAAGAAGGCTTTTCCAGGAGCCAAACTCGCTCGACAAGGAAACGCCCGGTTCTGGGGGCTGCAGGGGGTCGGCGTGGCCAGAGGCGCCCAATGGCAGGCGGCCTGTGCCCGCGGGCACCTAGTCCCTGGCAGCAGCCCCGCGGCCAGGCCAGCCCACCCAGATCGGCCCCTCGTTCCACTGGACCCTGAGGGTGAGCCTCCGGGGCTGAGTCCTCAAAGTTTGCCGGGCCTCCGGTCAGCAGGCAGCCCCTGGAGCCCCGCCTGTCCTCGGGCCCCCAGGCTCTCAGCCCCCACCTCTCCCCCGCCCCCGCTCGGCTTCTGGGCCCCAGTGACAGGTCGCAGTTTACCTCCATGTGCTCATGACAAGAGGAAACAAAAGGAAGCCACCTCCCAGATAACACAACGCCATGTTCGGCTAATTGGCCAACAGAGGGTCCCCCGAGGCCGGTTCCCCACCCACCCACCCCGGTCCCCAGCAGCCCGAGGGCTCGGGCCGCCTTAGGAGCAGAGTTGGGAAGCCCGACTGGCATGGTCCTGGGGGTGTCCCAGCCGTCCTGGCCACGAGCGTCGGTAAAAGCAAACGGGGTGATGGCGGGGGGGTTGTGGCCCTCCGGGGGCCAGGACCCCCTACGGAAACCGCTCTCAGGGCCCTGGGGACCGGGTGCGAGGGGCGCCGCAGAGTGGACTTACCCAACGGTTCCAGCTCCGGCGGAACATGGTGTAGCACGCTGCCGGCCGCCAGCGAGGCTCCACGGGGCTGTTAGCGAAGGCGCCGTCCACACACACTGCGGCGGGGCC